GGGGGGCTGATGCTATGACGAGGGAGGCTGCAGCCCCCGCAGCACCCCCCTTCCCGTGCCACTGTTTCAGTCCCACATCCAAGAGATGGAGAAGGAGGATAACTCTGTTATAAAGGTCATGAGGTTTCTGAACAAGGTCCACAGCTTGTTTCATGAGCGCAAGATGAACAACTTCATGCCTCTCAAAGTCAACAGCATTCTGGCTCAAAAGCATAAGGGTGACTAATTTGCCATACAGAGAAACCTGGAATGGAGTAGTGGAACGGAGTGGCAATCTAATCAGTTTGAGGCAGTCGACCAAAATCCTAGACGATTTTGAATTCCCCCCCAGACATTTTTTTAGGTCTGAAAAGTAGGATGTGTCTGGGAAAAAGAGGACATCTTGTCACCCTAGATTAAGAGTCTCGCTCAGAGAACCAAAGTGGCAGTCTGTGGGAGTGGGTTTCAAACTCACAACCCCATGATCCCAAGCTCTATGCTAAGCAGCCATTCCCCCTAAATATGAAAGTTCAGCACCATTTTTTTTTTTTAGATATTTCGCCTTCTTTAAAACAGGATTAACTTTATACCCAGCTTTCCTGTGCCCCCCTCCCCCTACAGTGCTTGGAAATGCCACCCCCCCGGTTGCTGATGGTGGTCACAGGAGATGATTTCGGCTACTGCCCCAGGAGGAACCAGGGGATCGTGGACTGCTTTTTGGCTGGAGGCATTTCTAATGCGTCTCTGCTTGTTAATGCCTCGGCTGCTAAAGAGGCAGCTGCTCTGGCTGGCAGGTAGAGTCCTATTCTTTTCCTTCTTTCACATTTATGCTGAACTTTCAACTGTAGAGATGGAGATCAGAAATTCATCTCTGCTCCTTTTAAACATTTTAGATCTTTTCAGGTTTCAAATTCATTAAGAAATGGAGCAAAACATAGCATGGAATGGACCGGGCAATAAAAAAAATTGTGCTTTGTGCAAACCTGAACTGTGGGTAGAGATGCGCCGATCCGATATCGGCTAATTAGCTGGATCCGATATCTAATCCAGTTTACATGGAAATGTTATTTCTTTCTTTTTGCTTCTTATTTGTTAATAAATATCATAAAGTACATTAATATCTGTGTTAATGTGTTACCTTTCATTAATAATATTTATATCAAGGCTAAAGCCTGCACTATAAGCTGAGCTCAGGTATCGGATTGGATCGGAACAAACTGGATCGCTGCATCTCTACCTGAGGGTCAATTAAGATATTTCTATTTTATTTTAATCTTACTTTCATTCCCACAGTTGCAGTAAATGATTGATTATTTGAACACTAGTTTTAGTCAAATTTAAAAAGATTTATTTAAGACTTTC